CTATAACACAAAATACATAATTTCTAACTTTTGATAAAAATTAATTGATATATGAAGAAACAGAAAATGTGCTCTGTAGTCAAGATGAAAGGGAAACAAATACTGAGCTAATCCAGATGTTGAAAACAGCAGATTGGACATTTAAAGTAGTCACTAATAATAGGTTCAAAAACTTGAAGGAAAATATGGAAAAATGAAATAACAGATGTGTCATTATAGCAGAGAAATTGAAATTATATCTTAATTAATCTTAATAAATAAAAAGCCTAGAACAAAGTAAATAACCAAAATGAATTAATTCACTGGTGGATTATCAGATGGGAGATGGCAGAGAAGTGGTCTGTGAACTTGAATTCAAATAAGTAGAAATAATCTAATTTGGAGAACAGAAAGAAAGAAGATAGAAGAAAAAAAGCAGACTCAGTGATATGTGGAAAATTATCAAACAATCTAACATATGTATTTGAAAAACTAATGGTCAAAATTTCTGAATTTGATGAAACCATAAACTTACAGGGATAAAAACTCAATGAATCTTAAAGAGCTTTAAACAGAGAAAACCATACATAGGATTATTATAATCAAACTTCTGAAAAACATATTTTCTCTCTTGTTAATTTATTTAAAAGATATAAATGTTTAACACAAAAATTCTAATAATATATTTAGGTTCTTATCATGTATAGATGCAATGTATATGGCAATAATGGCACAAAGAATGAAGATAAAATGAAACTATACTAATGGAAGGTTCTTATATTTTAAGTGAAGTATATCAATATTTACAGGGAGTGGACTATGAAATGTTGAGAATCTATAAGTGTATTGTAATCACTACAGTCATAAGTTAAAAAATGCAGAAAAGTTTTACTCCTCAAATGACACTATTATGAAAATGAAAAGGCAAGTCATAGACTGAGAGAAATTTTTGCAAAAGTATATTGAGTAAAAGAATTGTATTAGAATAAAGTTCTCTTACAATTCAAGAAAATAATAAGCAAAATTACAAATGGGAAAAAGAGTTACAGACACTACATTAAAAAAATAAAAGATTCCTAATAAGCACATAAAAACCTCTTTAGTCATCAGAGAAATGCAAATTAAAATTATAATGAAATACTAAAATTCATCCAATAGAATGGCCAAAAAAAAAAAAAAAAAAAAAAAAAAAAAAAAGAAAAGACTGACCACACCAAGAGGTGGAAAGGATGTGAAAAAACTACAACTCTTGCTGATGAGAATGTAGGAAGGAATTGCTAGTTTGTTAAACAGTTTGGTAGTTTCTCATAAAATTAAGCATGTACTTATTAAGTGACTCAGCAATTCCACTTTTAGGTATTTCCCAGGAGAAATAAAAACATATGTTCAAACAAGTACCTGTATGTGAGTGTTCAAAACAGCTTTGTTTATAATGGTCAAAATCTGGAAAAATGTCCATCAGCAGGTAAATGGTAAACAAATTGTGGTATATCCATATAAGGGAATACAATTCCACAATAAAAGCATTAATTACTGAATATATAACATGGGTGAATCCCAATAGCATTATGATAAGTGCCAGAAACCATATAGAAAAAAAAACATACTGGATGTATAAATTTATTTAAAACTCTAGAAAAGAGAAAACTATAGTGATAGAAAACACTTGTTTCCGGAGACAAGGTGAGAAGGAGATTGACTGCAAAATGGCATGAGGGAACTGTTTGGTACAGTAGAAATGTCCTATAACATGATTGTGATGATGGTTACATGATTACATACATTTTCAAAAGTTACCAATTGTAGACTTAAAATTGATAATTGTATTCGGTACATATTAAACGTCAATAAAACTAAACCCTGTAAAAAACCCAACGAACTAAAACAAACAAACAGAAAGGTGTATGGGGATCAATCATTCACGTAGTATTAAAAAGCTAAATATCTGCTTTGGTTTTATTAATGAAAGCAGAGATTATTCATTAGAAAATATCCAGTCATGATGTCAGAGGCGTTTGAACCAGAGTGAGCTACTCCATTTTGAGTGAGGGCTAGGAAAATAGGAAAATGAGTCTGAGACTTACTGGGTTACATTCTCAGAAAGTTAGGCATTCTTAACCTCTAGATGTTTATGCTTAAGGGAACAAATTAATAATGTTCACTGAACAGATCCAGACTTGGGAGTGTCTAGATATCCTGATATCTGTAGAACAAAGGTATTCCTAATTTTGCTTTAAAGATAATAATATCGATTCTTGCAAAATATAGTAATTAAGAAAATTAATGTTATCACAAACCTTTGTAGCAGGACACATCTCCCCAAATATACGAGCATTGTACCTAGGGTGGATGCACTCCTCCTCTTACTTTCAGGAACGTCCTACTCCGTCTATGGAGTAGCTGTCTTTTCACCACTTTACTTTCATAAAAAACTTGCTTTTACTTTGCACTGTGGACTCGCCCTGAATTCTTTCTTAAGGGAGATCCAAGAACCCTCTCCCAGGGCCTGGATCGGGACCCCTTTCCTCTAACGATTAGTCAGGCCCAGCATGCCAGGGTGTATAATTGAAAGAGCTATTTGATGTAGTGAACAAAAGGATGCGATATTTACATTATTCATTTTGTGAGTGTTATGAACAAAATAAAATTCGATTGTAATACCAAAAAAAAAAAAAACCAAAGAAATATGTATAAATAAGTGGTATGCATGAAAAATATTAAGATAATAAAATACAAGGATTGAGTGAGAAATTATTTCAGAGTAAGGGAGATTACAGAAATAAGAAAACTGAAAATGCATGATTGTGGATTGAATCCTATCCCAGACAAGAAAAAATAATCTATAAATGACACAATTGGAACAATGATAAAATTTGATTTTGAACTATAGATTAAAATATCATGTTAATATCATCTCAATTTTTTATTTTATAATTGCATTGGAGTTATATAAGTGAATTTTCTTGTTCTTAGGAAATGAAGACTGAAGTGGCTAGAGTGCATGTTGTATACAATTTACTGTCAAATGCTTCTAAAATAAAACAGAGTAATGGAAATGGGACAAAATGCAAACAGTTAATGAACCTGGATAAGGAGTTTCTTGTACTATTCTTGCAATTGTTCTTTTAAGTTTGAAATAATATTAAAATTAAAAGGTTATTAATACTATATGGGGGTGGGGAACTGGGCCCAAAATTAATTATATACTTACTGGAGTAGTTCTGTCAAGGGATAATTAGGAGTAGGTTTAATGCATTTAATGGTTACTAGGTTTAATGCCTGGTAGTGTGAACAACTACTTTATATTATTTTTGTGTTTAAAATGAAATAGTAACTTTAATTTGCTTTTTACCTTTGTTAAGAAATTTGCAAAATAACTATGCATTTTATTATGGCCTTTTAATATTTTTGCCTGCTTTGTTTCTTAAGAATCTAAATTTTCATTTAAACTTGCTATGAAAAAGCTATAGTTTATGCACCCTTCTCTAAAATAGAAGAAAACATAAAAATAGAGCAAAGAAAACTCTAAAAATGGAAATTTAGTTATTATAAACAGAGGTTGAAGAAATATATTCTTTAAATATTGTAGCACTAAATCATTCAGAACCCATTCGTGTGCCAGTGTCATGCTAAATCTTAGTAAAATGAACTAATACAGAAAAAATCTCCCAGACGGTGAGGTTCAGAATTCATGGTTTCATACAGTGCCATGGCTATCCATCACTACCTTCCTGTTCCTTGAAGCTCTTCTACTTTCACCTCCTGCCTTTCAGCAGAAAAGTCAACATCAGATGCTGTTTTCTACACTGGAAACTCAGACTCTTTTGTAGTTTAGCAGGATAATTAACAGGTATTAAAGACAATTTAACACGTAAGTGAGGCTTTCTCCCAGAAGGAATTAGAAGAATTGACTAGGCATTGACTGGGCATGAAAAGAGACGAAACTTTAGAGCATTTGCACTATGAATTATAGGAATTTGTGAAGCTAAATCATGGGAAAATAAGGTCCTATTTCGCCCCAATGACAAACTCTCTAGCAGTTGGGGGAGGGAGATATTGCAGGGGGTTCCTAATACAGGCAAAAAGTTGTCCCTCCTCCCACACCTGCACACACAAAACTGAAATAAAATTCTGTTACAGACTCACATGAAAATGAGAAAGAACAAAATACGCAATATACAAATGAGATTCTGGGAGTAATGAGCCAACTGTACTTGATTTTAATCACTATTCTAATATTGTCCAGGTATCTACTTTAGTCTTTAATTGCATTTTCTGTAAAATAAATTCTAATATGCAGTTATTTTAATGACTAAAGTACATTTAACTTAGTATGATATTTAGCTCATAACAAATATAAAGTAGAAATTGTTATTATAATTATAAAATGGTCAATGTATATTATATAATTTGTACGTTTTATAAATTTATGTTTATGAAAATCTCAAGGTTCAATTCCAACAGTAAGTATCCCAGTTTGTCCAATCCACTATTATATTTATTATTCTATCAGGTGCTGAGATTAGGTTGGAGCCAGGGACTAATATAAGAAAAAAAACAGCTGAAGCAAAAAGGTTTTTTAAGAAAAATTTGCAGTAAAGAAATACAGCTTCAATGTGCTTCTTTTGTCTTTAAGTACAGCCTCATCTCTCTGCACAGAGGCAGCATGGTGTTCTGATGAGGAACTTTGGCAACAGAACTAGACTGCCTTGTCTTAAATCCTGGCTAACCCCTGGCTAACCATGTAACCTTGGGAATAATCATATTCACTTGTGGGATTCTTGTGAGAATTAAATGAGCTAAATAGAGAAAGCATTAAAAGGAGTATGTGTCTAGTATACAGAAGATATCTGCTCAATAAAGAGAAAGAAGTCCTTTAGTAATGTAACGCCTCTGGTCACTGAAAATTTTCCATAATTACTAATTTGGAAAAAAAAAAAAAAAAAAAAAAAAAACCAACCCTAAAGATCCACATTATCCTTAGTTCCAAAGCAGTGATTATGGCAATTAAAGTGTCATACCTTGTAAACTGCCAAATGCAAGGCTGTAAATCCATTTCTTGACAGTCGAGATGGGCGGAGCCCTTTTAACATAAGAGTTCGAATATGTGATTTGTTGCCTTAAAGAGAAAAATGAAAGAAGGCTAAATCGTTGTGGGGATGGGGTGAGTTTAAGACTCTCTTTGACTTAATGATAAATGCCATACAGCTGTTTAAAAATGTCAAGCTACCGTTCTTCAGGCCATTTGTAAAGTTTTCTATTAATTGACGACCTTACTTAGTAGGGGATATTTCTTTTCCGTTTTTTCCGTTTATAAAACTTTATTCAAATGCTGTGTATTTTGATTCTTCGTCTTAGATTTTTTTATTTAGTATCCTCATCATCGGATGGTTTTGAAACATAAACACATAAGAGGATTCACCATAATAAACTATTAGTGAAAAAGCTTAAATTAAAAAATCTAGTTGTAGAGGATTTATCTGAACATTATTAACAGTAGAGCTTATTTAGATCAAAGAAATATGAAGGATATAACCAAGGTTGGGAAGGCACATTTAAAGTTGAGAGAACAATCTGTTAAGTAGAGTCTGTTTGGTTTGTTTGGGAGAAATGGTTAAGGAATATGGTTAGAGTTGACACACATTTCTGTTCCATTTTAAGAAGTTAAGTTCAACGAATTTAGTTTGGGTTAACAAAATAAATATTAATGGTTCATTCATTAATTCAATAACTTTACTGAGTGGATATTATATGCCAGGCACCATTCAAAGTGCTTGAGATACATTAATAAACAAAACAAATTGAGTGTAAGCCAGATTAAACTCTTAATCTTCACTTTGATCAATCCTTACTTTTAGATTTTATCTTTGGCATTTGTCACTTTTCCACATACCCTTGTTGAAGATTGTGAAGCAACTGCTTGATGCTATTTGGGGGAATCTTTAACTGCTTCTGAATTTAAGTTAATCCCTGACTGGCATGCCCAATATTGAAAAGAGATTTTTGATTTCCAAGCAAATTGAGTGACTTGGTTTCCGGTAGGAACACAATGAAGCTTAAATTTAAAGCTAAATCAATTGGAATATTCTGCCTGATAGTTACTGCCTAAACTGAGATTATCAAGGTTGGAAAAGGCAAAGCAGAAGAGAAAATTGAGCATGAATAGAATTCTCTTGTAGACTATTAAGCAGCTCAAGTCACTGATGATATACACATATAACCAGTTTAAGGAGTACTAAGTTTCAATACTCACCTCCACAAATGCAACATAAATGAAGTAGAGACAGCCCATTTTCAGTGCGGTAATTTAAATTGACTTTACTGAAGGCTTCATCAGAGCTGAAAAAAACATTTTACAGATGATCACAAAATTCATCTTTTAGCATATTGTCTTTCATTTGAAAATTATAAATGCAAATTCTGTTACTATCAATTCAGAAATGTATTTTTTCTAAGATTATTTTGTACTTACAGAAAGAATCTTGAACCTTCTATATGAAGAATTAAAATTGAGAGGAAATTCTGTAGTTTTACATTGTAATGATGTCACCAGAAATAACACTATGTTTCCAATAGTTGCTCCAGAATCACTGACAGCTACTAGGTGTCACAATAGTGAATTTAGTGCCACTTTTTAAAGACAAGTAAAACCAAGGTCAGACATAATCTAGGAACCTGAGAGTCACTGTTAGTAGGGAATACTTATACAATACATATATAAAATTGATTATTATTAAAATCAGAAAATCAGAAATCAGAAAATTGTTGTCAAATATAAAAGGCCAAGAAAGGTCAAATATGACATGAAATTATAGGAGACAAGAAAGACCTTCCCCTTTGCCTCTCTGAAGGTTTGCTGAAATCAACTGACAAAAGGGACATTAATAGAAGAAAAGGCATAAAATATATTTGACCATAGTTTTAACAGGCACAAGACACACAAGACATAAGAGCCTTCAGAATGAAGACTCCAAGATACAGGAACAACTCTGTAAGTTCTAGTTTCTATGACCTGCCTTGAGAGGAGAAGGATTCCAGTCTCTATGGCTATCCTCTGGGGAAAATGAGGGGCCAGAGACAAGAGGACAGGAGGAGGTCAGAGAGAAAGTTTTGCTTCTAAGGCTGCTTGTAGGGCTTTCATTTTGAGGTGTCATTTTCTGAGCCTCAACAAAAATGATGCTAAAATTACCCGAAGAGTTATACTTCACAAAGAAAGTTGTATATTCACAGTGAAGTTGGCAATGTTAACAACAGTGCAATAATCATTTTTTGATTACATATCACATGCCAGATACTGTAGTAAGCACTTAACCTTACTTATTCCTCACCACAGCACAATGCCATGCGTATTGTCACATATATTATTTTACTCATTTTATAACTGAAGAAACTGAAGCTTAACGATGTTAAATAACTTGCCCAAATTGGAAAAAAGAGAACAAACTACTTAAGAGGCAGAATCAGGATAAGATTTGAATCCTGGTGTAACTGTAAGAACAAGGCTTTCAAGGATTACCACGCTGATGAAATGATTTTTTCCACTTTGAAAACATCAAAACATAACAGGTATTGCTATATAACATTGGACATACATACTGAAAAACTGCATTTTCTCAGGGGTTTATTGCTACATAGGAGCTCCAAAGCTTTTTCTTCTTTCACTATTTGCCATTAAGTTCATTATGGTTAGCTCAAAAGAACGTACATCCTTCCATCCTTCTGTGTTTTGCTTAGGCTGCTGGTTACATAGTTTTTCTTAGGATCAGAAGGCCTCTCTCACCTCCCCCAACCGAATACTTTGTTTTCTTTCTTGTGGTTTTATACTATGTTTCATTTGCTGGACAATAGAAAGACCAAGGAAGAAAAGCCAAAGCAGCTCAGAGCTGAATCATTGTCCATCAACATTCTCAGTTTCCAGTCACAGTTTTCTTTCCCTTTTTATTTATGAACACTGATTTCCTACAACCTTTAAGAGAAAAATCCAATCTACCTAGCTTGAAAGGCAGAGTTCAGCTCTGCCGAATACCTCTACTATTTGAAGTCATAACCACAAAGAAGACCTCTGCGACCTGTAAATTCATTTCCAAGTGTGTTCCAAGTACCTAGTTTACTTTCTTCCAAGACATCCATAATATATTTGGGTTCGCGGGTTTAAAAGCCTGGTTGAGCCAAAGACTACACATTTCTAAGAATCATGTTATTTTGTGAAGTTACTGCAATACCATAAACAGCTCTATCATTTATAAGTAGGCTCATTTTATTATAAGTGGACATTTGAAACAGTGGTACTTTCATCAGAAATGATTTTGATTGCAGTATTCTTTGAGCTGAGGGAAATTGCTGATAGAAGTGAGTTAAATTCTTAACTATCTTCATGAAATTCTAAACACCCTGCTTATATTATTAACATTTATAAACACTGGAGTTTATTGTACTTCTACAAAAGGCTTTCCAAAGCAAGTTGAGTTGTGTTTTCCAGTATTAGTAAGCTGTCTACATGTTTTGCTGCAGGGAAACACAGAAAGCAAGAAAGGTAGGAGGGTAAAAAAAGTTTGAGAATACTGTATTCCCACGACTGTGGAAACAAACCACAAGACTTGCCATTTCTAATTAAAGCATTTCACTGAGGTTCTTCAATGACCCTGGATTTAGAGCCTTTCTCTTTTCAGCAGTACCTTGGAGAATAGCACTTTTTCTTTTTCTATTTTAAAATTCCAATAGCTTTTGATGTTCTTAACTGGGTGCCTTGATGATAATGTTCTGAATTTATAGTACCTTTCAAGTGTAAGTACTTTACAAGTGATATGAGACTTTGGCTCACTCACCAAAGACTATGCTATCTCTCTAAAGCTGCTAGAGATTTAAATAGGCAGGAGGCAGCTTGAAATTGACCTGTAAGGCCAAGGATATGATCTCATTTCTACTGAAAAATGTCCTGGGAGCATCATGGACCTCAAGAGGTCGAGAATTTTAGCTTTACATTCCTTTTGAAAGGCTACCTGTGGCTCTCTAGGGCCCTCCTGGGGCAATGGTCTTTGTTCAGACAAAGACAAGGATTTCATTAATAGAATCACTCCACTTCTCACCAGGGACTATATCACAGTACCTTACCAGAGTTTAGACCTTTATCTGTGAAACCTGACCCAGTCAGAGTACAAGAGAACTTTGCTTCAGGCAGAAGTTGTAATACACTGGGATTATATTCTTTTTTCCAGTATCTTATCAGATGCTACTTCCCCCCACCTTTCTTTTTGGAGGGATTTTCCTGAATTTCTCCTTAGATACTATGTGAGATTTTGGGTGTGAGTGAAATGAGTTTACTTTCAGATGTCTGTTTTCTATTCATAATTTTTATTTATCAAGATGCCCTGAAAAGTTTAAATTATACAGAGAACACAGAACTGCACATGAGATTCTCTTATTTAAACTTGACCTCTCAAACTTTTAATATTACTGTATTTTCAACAGTGGAGATATTCAAAGAATGAAAACTGCAAAGGAGAGAAAAAAGGTTAAAGTTGAAATGGAAATCACTTTATTTGAGAGGGTAAACTCAATTGCTTTCTTATTCTGTGATCTAACTTTGATGATCTGTTCAATAAGTCTGGCACACCACCTACTAAACACCTACTACATGCCTCGCTTCTGCTCTTAAGGCTCACTTCAGGTTGTGTTCAAGAGTCTCCTTGATATAAACTACTCACTAATTCCTGGATCCTTTGAATGCATCCGTCCTGGAAATATACATACTAGATAAAATCCTGAAATTGACTGTTGTGTTAGTCCTGATATCTAATACTCTGATCAGCTTTGCAAAACAAATGAACATGGAATAAACAAAAAATACAAGATGCCAGGGTCCATTCTTGATTTTTTAAAAAGAAAGGCACTAAGTAAATGTTTATTATTTACATAAATAAAATTGAAAGCAAGATTAATGACTCTTTATTCAACAATTATTCCTCAGCTAACTGAATCTTGAACTAGACTTTACCATCTATAAGTGACTCAGTATAGAGTCCTAGAGTTCCTTGCTTTAAACTGAGCTGCTCCTTGTTGCTTTTGTTCTCCTTTTGAATTATATCCTCCTTGAACTGATGCAACTTCTATTAATGTCAACAAAATGAATCAACAGAGAATAGACTCCTGTAATATTTGGCAGTCAAGTGTGATTTTAATAGTACAATTTTTAGTTCAACTTTAATAACTGGAATGTACATTTTTAAAATGAGAGTTACTTTGGGGGCTATATTTGAATCCTAATTCTCACTTCCCATTAACTTCTAGTCAAACGTTTCTGTTTTGAAACATGTAATTAAAATATTCAAGATATTTAAGCAATCATTCCTAGGAGAGAAATTTCATTTTCTCTTCTTTTGCCTCTTCTAAAGTAACTGTGTATGTCAAATTCACTGCCAATTGAGCATCACTTATGTATTCTAATACCCTAAGCTCAATTTATTTTTTAATTTCCCCTTACATTTTTCATCACCTGCCATGCCACACTGTAACTTAACATATCCTAATGAGTTCATCGTGCATGCTGGGGCATGAATGAAGTTCCTAATTAAAATAAAGCCACTATTATGAATATATTTCTAATAGTAAATGCTGTTCTTAATCATTAAAAATGATAGTTCTGTACCCAAAGGTTACTTTCTTTCTTGTAGCATAATGAATTCTTTTCCTAGCCTTTACCTTTTACCCAGAAAAGTGTGCAGTTTTGTGATCCAATTAAAATTCTTTTTCATGACCTCATCCTTTCAAGAAGATATCTGACATGAATGACCACAAGTGGGAACTTATTAAAATGTAACATTTGAACAGTTGGCCAAAAAATAACACACTGCTGTCCAAGGTATTCAGACAGGTAGATACATTTTAAAGCTAATTCATTGGTTAAAACTTAGGGGAAAGCCAATAATGTAAAAAGAAGGTAAGGATTTTTTATGGGTCGTCTAGTTTCCCAAACTGATCATTTAAGTTTCAAATGGCTAGTTGCAACTTCTTGCCTATTCATTGCAGATTCTTCCCTGCCCCATGCCCTCCAAGCAATAGAAGCAGACAAATAATAAGATATGTTTCTAATATATATCTCCAAGAAATATGCAGAAATATATTTGTTCAATATCTTCCAAATAAAATCTGCAAACTAATACTGTGAAGTATGTTCATTTATTCAGTCATTCATACAATAAACAATTATAGAGTTAGAGTGACAGATACAGCAAAAATAGCTAAGTATCATAAAATTGATGTAATAATTGTTACCTCATAAGATTGTTGTGAAGTGTAAATGAGTTAGAGTTTGTAAAACTGTTATAAATATTAACTGCTAT